AAAGTGATGCGCAGCCCAAGATCTACAGAATGAAGCTCTGGGCCACCAATGAAGTTCGTGCCAAATCCAAGTTTTGGTCTGTAATATTCAATTTCATATTTTTCTTTACTTATTTCTTACTTTAATTTAGAATTTAGAATATATATCATTTATAATACATGTCATTTGTATTATGAATCCTGTATGTTATGTCAAGTGTTTTAAAATGATAATGATTTAATTTCATATTCTGACTAATCAAAAGATCTTAGAAAAAAGGACTAAAGATAAATTAAACAAAAAAAAAAAAAAAAAAAAACTGCAATATGAATCTGAAAAAAAAAAAAAAACAAAAAAAAAAAAAAAAAAAAAAAAATAATTTTCAATCCCAAACATGGACATATATGCAATTGCTGTGTTGGGTTCTCGCGTTAATCTTATGATGTATAACTGTGCACGTGATACAACATGAAGTGTCGTGTGATGGAGTTTTAGAATTGCTTATAATGAGTGACGTTGTCTCTAAATAGTTGTGTTTCTTGGCATGATGCCTAAAGTTTAATTTTATGACATTGCATAGACATGTCTTACGTGTACAGTTATGCATCATAAGGTGGACAATGGTGTCCATCATAGCAGTCTAATTAGATAATGGGTCCATCATATCGTATATTTGCTATTGATTTGACAAGAATTATCTGGCTGATTGAATGTTTTCTGGTAATGACATTGCTTTTTTTTTTTTTTCATATTCTGTCTAGGTATTTCTTGAGGAAGTTGAAGAAAGTTAAGAAGAGCAAGGCAGATGTTAGCAATCAATGAGGTATGCATAAGTATATGTTGAAATGAAATATATAATGTTTGCTTTGATGGTGTCTTTGCATGATAGTATTTATACACGGCTCACAATTAGCGAACATGTAACTGTTACTTCAATGGGCCACTTTGAATATTGGTTCTTTTGAAAACCTCTATATGTAATCGAGGCACCTCCTAAACATGTGGTATATGCTATTAGAGAATTATAGTATCCAAAAGACTGAAATGAAATTTTATCAGGCTGACTTTGTCATAACTTCTTTTCTCTTGTTTTTATGCAAATGAAGACTTGAGTGTATCTATAGGCATTTTTACGTTTTATTGTTGTTGTATTTTTAATTCCAAGTTTGGGTTCTGTGGTTAAGACCTTTGGTTTCAACCAAGAGCTCCTTGGTCTTTGACTTTAGCTGGCTTCTGCTAGAATTTTTACTGCCTTAATGGGAGAAGTTATGGTTTAAAGGCTTTAATTTAGTGTTGTGCCAGCGAACGTTAGAGTCATAATATATGTATTCTTTAGAAGTGAATAAGATGGCATGATTTTGGGAAGAAGTTCAGGAAGGGAACCAATCATAGAACAGTAGCATTTTCACATCATTTGAAATGATTGGTGGAAATGTTTTTCACTTTCTAAAATGAAGCTTTTGAAGCATTCTTAGTAGGGACCAGATATAGATGATCATTCGTTTTGTACCATTCCTAGAATTTTTGATGGCTTTTCTGATCTCCATTGTCTATTGGAATTGAATAGCCTTTGTATCCTGTTATATATTTGTTTGGTCTTCAAATCATGATTAGTAATTTATGTACCATATGTCAGCTTCCGGAATTATACGAATGAATGTAACTGATATGTCGACATGTTAGTTTTCAATAATAGCATTTAATCCTGAAAGGATGTTTACCATGTAGTCTATCCTTAAGAGTGAATGTGAATCTCAAAAACTTAAAACATTTTTTTTTTTTTTATTATTATTTTTTGAAGGTGAAAGGCTTTATTTTTGTATGAATATTGTATCTAAACTTATGGTACTTATACTGCAATCTTTGAGAAAATCCTACCAAAGTTAGAACTATGGTATCTGTTGCGTATCAAAGCCGAACTGGGTATCACAATATGTAAGGAATACCGAGACACAACTCTTAACGGTGCTGTCGAACAAATTACACTGAGATGGCTTCTCGTCACCGTGAGGAGGCATCCATGCATTCAGATTATTAAGACAGCGACCATACCCCAAAGCTTTGCAAGAGGGAAAGCACCAAGCAGTTCCACAACTCCAAAATCAGTTCCCTCTGGTTTTCAAGAAAGTCAGGCCACCTACGAGGAAGCTCAAGACTACATACAAGCAACAAGGCCTAACTTGTTTATGTAACTGCCCTGTGTTTCTCACTTCCTCCTATTGCTTGTTTGGGCTAATGCTATGGATTAATGTTCGTCTTTGCATTTTTGCCCTGCTCTATTGATCTATTATATGTGACTTCAGAAGATGATTATGAACCTTCTTTGGAAAAAAAGTCGTTCTTATGAAGGTATTTAGCTTTGACATGATTTTGGCCATGCAAAACTTTTACAATTTTATCATTCTCTTTTCTTTCTTTTTGGGATGAAATGACCCAGTTTAGCATTATCAGCCTTGTTTCTAGGCCAATAGCAATTGGCATGCTTTCAACTTGGAAATTATAGTTTGAATTCATATCAAATACTGTTGTCTACAATTGGAGTATGGGATTATTGGATATAAGATTTAATTCAATTGTTATTTCATTTGGGATTGGGAAAACATTATCACTTCCGCTGGACCATTGTGTGAATTTTTTAATGTTTTTGTATGGGTCCAATGGTCACAAGCCTTCTGAGTGTGAGAGAATGGTGAATAAAATCAGTAGTAGCATGTAGATTGTAGGTAGGCTTGCAAACGAACCGAACACGAATGAACACTCCTGTTTGAAACTCGTTCGATAAGCACCAAGAGTGTTCAAAATTGTGTTCAACTTAAACGAACACAGAATGGTTGTTCGAGTTCGTTCGATTAGCAAAACGATCTTTCGTGATCGTTCGATTAACTCATTCAATTAATTTGTAAATATCTGTTCGAATAAATATACACTAACTTTCTATTCATGCTCTAAAAACAAATATATACTCATTTAATTCAGCATTTGAAGAAATATAACTCAGAGCTGAAAATAACTAAAACTGAATTTTTCTATATTGAATGAATAAATGTACAAAAATAGAACAATCTGTTTCTTTATGACAAATACAAACTCACCGTTTAGTCAATACTTTTAGACTTCATATATAATATATATATATATATAAATATTATATAAATGATTATCATAAATATTTTAAATGTGTACATTATTTTTGTATCAAACTCATAAATTCATAGTGAAATGAAGGTCTATTGTAATAAATGATCAATACATAGGTGTGATTAATTTGTTTTATATATATATATAATGTGTCATTATGTATATACAAAATTATTATCATACATATATTAATCATAGATTAAATATGTTTAATATGTTATTAAATTATTAAAATTATAGGTTATCATATATATAATCATTACTGTCTACATATATATTTTGTACCAACACTTATAAATTCATAGTGATACGAGAGTCTATTGTAATGTATGATCAATACGTACGTGTGATCAATTTGTTTTATATATATATATATATACAAAATTATTATCATACGTATATTAATCATTGATTAAATATGTTTAATATATTATTAAATTATCAAAATTATAAATTTTATATATATATATTATCATTATTGTCTACATATATATTTTATATCAACACCCATAAATTTATAGTGGTATGAGAGTCTATTGTAATAAATTATCAATACAAATATGTGATTAATTTAGGTTTAATTAAACTATTATGTTTTTAAATTTGTCATGCTATATATCACTTTATTATACAATATGATATGTTCATAAATTTGTCATATTATATTTAATTAAACTATTATATTATTAAAATTGTCATGTTATATATCACTTGATTATACAATATGTTATATTCATCAATTTACCATACTATATTTAATTAAGTTATTAAATTTGTCATGTTATATATCACTTTATTATACAATATGTTATGTTGATCAATTTATCATATTATATTTATTATTTATTAATTGAAATGTTATCTCATAATATTTAATTATTAATTATATTTAAAAAAAATATAAAGTTATTATGTTATTAGATTTATTATGTTATATATAATTTGATTATACAATCTATTATATTATTAAATTTGTGATGTTATGTAATATAATAATTTATTATTTTTAAATTAAAATGCTATATAGCTATATATTTAATTATTGATGGCATTTGAAAAAAAAAATCTGAATATATTATGTATATAAAAAAATAAAAAATCATAATATTTTATTATTGATTATCACTAAAAAAAAGTTCACCCAAATTAAACCAAATATAATATAAAAAATATATATATATATAAATATATATAATAATATATACTATGTTTTTTTAATATAAACAAACAAATAATCAAATAGATTGTTATGAATTAGTTACCTAAACATATATTATGTTTATTAACATAATCGATCCAACATCTTATATTCGAACTCAAATATATATCATGATGAGAAAAGGTGGCCATCGATACGTCAGATGCATGAAAAGCAGAGTTGAGTTGCGTGTTGAGTTGGTTTGCAGCCCTATGTAGGAGTGATGAGAACAGGTGGCCACCGATACGTCAGATGCATGAAAAGCAGAGTTGAGTGCGTGTGCTACTGAACAATTGGTATTCCAGAAACTCTCACGGGATCTTCACTTCTCAAATGTCAGTCTCCTATTCTGACATCATTGATAACGTTAAGCCCTTCTCAGTTACAATTCCAAAATGAAAAAGATAAAAAACGTTTTAATGAACTGCCTTCTCAAATTTGACCGAGGTAGATACATAGAATATAACTGAGATTCGAGACTGATATTTTCGATGGAATTTTGGACATATTTGTTGATGAATACACGCCGGTAGAATCGATCAGTCATCATCAGAATTCGAAGACCACACACGTCTTTATCTATTACTTCTTCATCAAGGGATGCTTCCAAAAGGATTATCTTCCGCATTCCATTTATTTTCTAATCTCTTCACTTGTTTTCCACCATAACTTAAGATGGCTTTATCTGTTTTTTTTTTTCTTTCTTATTTCATCACTCTTGCACAGACACATCCAGCTTCAAGGGGTCTCTCTCTTTGAGAAATGAAATATTTATTATCCGTTGCAGTCTCCATTGTTTTGGTTACAGTAGTAACGTTGGCATGGAGAATTCTGAACTGGGTATGGTTGAGGCCAAAGAAGCTGGAGAGATATCTGAGACAGCAAGGTCTCTCGGGTAAACCGTACAAGCTTCTGTATGGGGACTTGAAGACGACCTCAATTATGCTAAAACAAGCAAAATCAAGACCCATCAATCTCGCTGATGATATTACACCACGTCTTGTTCCATTCCTCCATAAACTGGTTAAAGATTATGGTATGCCAATCTCCATTTTCTCTTATAACTTTAATTCTTTCTTTCAGGTTTGCAATTATCTATAGTGCATTGAAGTTAATATTTGTATGTTATGTATGTGTGGTCAAAATTTATTCTTTTCTTGTATTTCTTTTTTTCAGCAAAAACTAAATGAAATTTGTGTTTAGGAGAAAATCCTGATCCAAATTTGATACTCAGCATACTTCTTGTACATGCCATATGTTTTTTAATGACTTTAGAATTAGATTATGAACACTGATGAACTGTATCTTCTACTAAGATTTGTGCATATTTTGAAAAAAAATGCAGGTAAGAATTCTTTTATGTGGATAGGGCCTGTACCGAGGGTGAACATCATGAATCCTGATCAAATAAAAGAGGTATTTACAAGGACCAGTGATTTTCAGAAAACCAGGTTGAATCCACTGGCCAGGTTGCTGGCAAAAGGACTTGCAACCTATGAGGGTGAGAAGTGGACTAAACATAGAAGGATTATCAATCCAGCTTTCCATCAAGAGAAGCTGAAGGTCAATGTCTTTACAATATATATAAATATTTTTCTATCTGCTCATCTCATTTATTGTAAAATTTTACGATTATATTTGTTGACGGTTGTTTTTCGATTGAAATTGAGAATGCATACTTCCACTGCCGTCTATCGCTTAGAACTAAGTAACAAGGTTGTTGAGAATATCTTCACTTCAAAGTGTGAATGCCAGTGTGCGCTCAGTGCTTTCTTATAGAACATAATGAAGATTTTTTCGACAACTTTGTTACCAAATTCCAAGTGACAAGTCCTTTCACTTTCAATCAAAAAACAACATTAATAGTACAGAATTCACTGTTTTCTTGCTAGTATAAACTTGACAGGACAAAAAATGTAAATATTTGACAAACGATGCTTAGTGCTTACTATTTTATTTTCTGTGTACTTGGTACAGCTTATGTTACCTGCATTCTATGAAAGTTGTAATGAGATGATTTGTAAGTGGGAGAATTTGGTCTCGGGGGAGGGATCCTGTAAATTGGATGTATGGCCATATCTTGTTAATTTAACTGGCGATGTTATTTCAAGAACTGCATTTGGAAGCAATTATGAAGAAGGAAAGAAAATATTTCAACTCCAAACTGAACTTGCTGAACTCACAGTGCAAGTTATGCGGTCGGTTTACATTCCAGGATGGAGGTACTTATATCTATAGACCATAGTTATTTGCTTTAGCTCAAAATGTTACATAATTTAACATGATCGTGTTTTAATACTATAATTTTGTAAGAAAACTAATATTTCAGATAATTGATACTGCTTATATATATGTAGATTTTTGCCTACTAAAAGGAACAAAAGAATGAAGGAAATTGACAAGGAAATTCGAGCTTCACTCCTTGGCATCATAAAGAACAGAGAGAAGGCAATGAAAGCAGGAGAAGCTGCGAATGATGATTTATTAGGCATACTTCTGGAATCCAATTTCAGAGAGATTGAAGAACATGGAAACAACAAAAATACTGGAATCGCTATCAATGATGTGATTGAAGAATGCAAGCTATTTTACTTCGCCGGGCAAGAGACCACCTCAGTTTTGCTTGTTTGGACTCTGGTTTTATTGAGTATGCATCAAGATTGGCAAGCTCGCGCAAGGGAAGAGGTTTTCCGAGTCTTTGGCAATAACAAGCCTAACTATGATGGGTTAAATCACTTAAAAATTGTACGTACCACGAAAGATTCAACAAAAAATTTCCTTCCTTTAATTTATTCTTTAATATGTTAATTTTGATTTTAAATGCTCAGGTTCCGATAATATTTTACGAGGTTCTTAGATTATACCCACCAGCAGTTGTTCTTACTCGAGCTGTTCACAAAGAAACCAAACTTGGAAACTTTTCGCTGCCTGCTGGATCGGAGGTGTTATTGCCGATCATCCTGGTTCATCATGATAAGGAATTTTGGGGTGATGATGCAATGGAGTTCAAACCAGAGAGGTTTTCGGAAGGAATTTCAAAGGCGACGAAGCATCAAGTGTCTTTTTTCCCTTTCGCTTGGGGTCCTAGAATATGTATTGGACAGAACTTTGCTTTGATGGAGGCAAAAATGGCTTTGGCATTACTTCTACAGAAGTTCTCGTTTGAGTTATCTCCATCCTATATTCATGCTCCTCGTCTTGTTCTCACTGTTCATCCCGAATATGGTGCCCGCTTGATTTTGAAGAAACTATAGAATATGAAAGCTGTCTATTGTGACAAATAACAGTTGGTATAAAAATATTAAAACACATTTGCATAATCCTGAATATGTAGAATACTTGCCAATATGCCATGGGTTTGTGCTTGGACTTGGTATTTTTGTTCTGCTTATATCGTTTTCTATTGTGTGATTTCGAAAGATAATCAAAATCCTTCTTTGGGAAAATGAAGTTGTTTTTGTGGAGATATTTAGCTTTGACATATTGTAATATGGAATGCAAAAGTTTTACGATCATCTTTTCATAAAATTACTTGATCAAAACACAAAAACTAATTAAAATATTATTTTAAGTTTGAAATAAATTAAACAGTCGTAAAGTTTTAAACTTTTTACTAAATGATAATTTGTTTAAATGATCTTTTAAGCGATAAAGTTCATGACTATTTAATTAATTCCAAACTTGATGGTTGTCAACCTCTTTAGAAAAAGAAAAATTGGTGTTTCTAAGTTTCAATCTTAGGCAATATAGGAATTTAGTTGTCGGATTGTGGAGGTGAAGAGATGAAAATATAATGGTTCCTTGGGATATTTTGGCGATTCCAGTGGATGTAGGAGTTTAGCTGCCGGATTTTGTAATTGAATTTTGTGGTGGTGAAGGGATGAAAATTCTAATAGTTCTTTGGGAGATTCTAGCAATATCCCAGTGAGATTTTGTATCAGCGGAGGCAAAACTTTTTCAGATTCCAGCAATATTGTCATTGGAATGGTGTTCTATCGTGGATTAGTTTCGATTTTTACGGAATCAATGTGTTAAATTAATTTGATTTTCTATTTGAAAAAATCTATTAAATTATGAGCAATATTCTACTTACAACTTACAAATGAGTTATATATCCGAATCATACAAATAAACAAAAAATAAAAGACAGAGTAATTATTTTACATAAATTTTACATATTTTTTATTAATTTATGAATAAAACATTATTGTTAGAGTTATTATTGTGCTGTGATACTAATTTCATGGATAACAATATTCCAGGAGGTGAGGTTGAGGCAGACTCTGTAAAAATGTCTAAATAGACTTTGGTCTCTGTACAAAGACAAACAGTTGTTTTCTCATTTGAGTAAATAGAGAATGAATGAATCAATGAGTGTCTTTCAAGGGTCTATGTCCATCAAAGTTAACGTCGTTTGACATTTGGATTTTGTCATTATATCATCACCAAGATTCTACTTAATCTTTGAACTTAAGACACCACAGAAAGTTAACATATATAATCGGTTGACATTTGGATTTGTCATTATATCATGACCAAGATTGTACTTCATCTTTGAACTTACTTAAAGACACCAGAGAAAAGCTGAAGCAAAAGAAATAGACATTTGATTAATTTATAAAATCTTGAACCAGAGAGAGTTGCGTAAGTCATTTAATTAAATTTATAAAATACAGCAGGACGTAATTAACAAGACAATACACACGCAATCTGCTATGGCACTTCCACATCGACCTTTTAAATTTTCACACGAAACTCAATGATAACGTTAGAATGTCAATTATTGCTATTGCGTACTATATACAGCCTCTCGGCTCACTTGTTCTTATCAATAATATTATTTAATTTTGGACTAGTTACAGACACTGCTAATATGCACAGACTAGTTAATTTTGGAGAGTTGAAAATATTTTCATTTTTTAAAGTATAAATAATTGATCCGTCAATGTCATATGGAGTTATGGACATCTATAACGTGGCCCCTGGACGGCACTACCCTACAAAATTGTAAACAAAAAATTGATACTACCAATATATGAAATGACATTTTAATCATTTTATCTTTCCAATTACTTCATTGAATAAATAAAATTGCCTCTTTCGAAAGTCAATGATATCTATAATTAAGATCACTAATTGCCCCTCATTTCACTCGATGCACAATATGTGAGTTATTGTGTGGATTAATGGAGTTGTATGATCTGAAATCAATTGCCGTCTCCATAGTTTTGGTTACAGTAGTAACATTGGCATGGAGGCTACTGAACTGGGTATGGTTTAGGCCGAATTAGTTTGAGAAATATCTGAGACAACAAAGTTGTTGATGCAACGATTTGCACCAAAAAGAAGTACATAGGATTTTAGGTGAATCTACGCAAGAGCTTGTTTAAGACCTAAAGGTTTGATGTAGAATCAATGAATGTAAAGACAGATCAAAGAATAAAATGACAAAAAAGATTTTTAAAGTGATTCGGATGCTGAAAATAAATCATACGTCCACTGTTATGTTGTTGCACTTGTTGTCTAACAAGCTTATTACAATGTGTTTCTTTTGAGTATTTTGTGACCTAATTTTGTCCCTCCGCCCCAAGATTGATTAGTATGGGTTTATATAGGGCCAATTACATGTTTGAATTGAAAATAAACACTGAAACTTTCAAAACAAGAGAACAACTCGATCTTCAACTCTTATTCGAGAATCTAAATGTTGTAATTGAAGTAGGAATTATCCTCTTTTGACTTATTGCACTATGAATTGGAAATAAAATCAAACTTCAATAAATCAGGAAAGCGATGCGATATTCGGTCTCGATTCCGGAAAGATATCTTTGTTCTAAATTGGGATTTATCCTTTCCAAATTGCTCGCACATCATTAAATGTCATGACATGTGGCGCAAATCTATGCCTTGTTTCGATTCATGCCACATGGAAACGAACAATAGTTGGGATTGAATTCTTTCCCGCTCACGATTACTTCACTATAAATCGAGACCCAGACTGTTCTTCTTCATTCTTGGCTGATACTTTGTGTTTTTCATTCCTTGCGATTTTCTTTGAAACAAAGTTAAAAACTTTTGCAATCACCTTGGTGGTTTTTCTCAGCCAATCAACCCTTTACAAGGTTTGTCACCATTCCCGCACTGTTGATGGTATAATGGTCGGTGTTACATAAATTGTATCATACGCTCTTTCGTGTCTTCTGTAGATGTCTATCGATAGCCGTGGTTCTGATGGGGTTAGTGACTATAGTGATGGCTTGCATTTGTCTTCTTCAAGTTCCCAAAGTAGTCGCCATGTTCGTTTTGCCCCTTTCCCTATTCATTATGCCCTTCGATTTCTTACCAACAAAACTTCACCTAGGAGGCTTTCGATGACAATAGTGATGGCCTTGAAGATAAGGCCAACTCAATTGCTGTGCCCCGTGATTCGCCTAGGTGAGGCCTCGACATCCTTGTTGCTGGCACATCCCTCATCCGGCAAGTGACGGGGGTAAGAAGACACTTTGATGACCGAGGGAAGGCTCCAGTGAGCTGTCCCCCTCAAAAAGAGAAAAAGGACAAGTCCTCCTGCCTCCGAAGGGAGGCTTGTCTTTGAAGGCATTGATAGGCCTTCTCATGGCTCTAAGAGAAAGACTTCTTAGGATGCTATCACAGTGCTTCCGAGATACTTGAGTGTTCCGACATTTGCCTTACTTGAATGTGTCTTGGGGGCATCTTAGGATTGCTTGCCCTGTTGTAGAAGGTGGCTGACATGAAGGCTCAAGTATGCTTGCTTTTGACTGCTATTTCTTCTAAACTTACTCCTAACCTTGGTGTAAAGCTTCTTTGCGATGGCGCTCCTTTTCCAAGAGATTTATTCTTCTCTCCTGGGCCAGAATACCTTTAGCGAGTAGCTCTCAAAGTCCAGGGAGAAGCTCAAGAGGTCAAGGAGTGCGTTGGCCTTACTGTAGTCCCAACTTGTAACGAAGAAGTACCATATGCTTCTCGAAGTAGATGACAAGGACATGCAAATATTTTCCCTTGTTAGGGATGCAGTGCTTCCAGTCGGGGTTGTAATCAATATAGAAGGCAATGGATGATCTTACTCTGCAACTGCGTATGCTTTCTAACAAATAGAAGATTTCTGAGCAGTATGCAGTAGAAGCTTTGGCTACCAAGGATCGGCTTTTAGAGGAGAAGAGCAAATCCTTGGAAGAGAAATCTGTAGCCCTTCAAGAAGCTTTGAAGGCAAGGACATAGGCATTGAAAGAAGTCACAACTCTAAAGAACAAGTTAAGGGGAGCAGAATCTAGTGCCTCGTCCCCCTTTAGTGGGAGATATCGAGTTTTTTGCATCGAGCTGAATAGCTCATATTGCACTATGTTTTCCTTCTAGGAAAGCCGCTTTTTTTGTTTTGTTTTGTTTTTTTTTTTTTTTTTCCCTTTCTACAACAATATCTCAAAAAAGGAAAATGTACTTTTATTAATTGATAGAAACTTACCATCTTTGGTAGGTGCCCTAGAGCCAATCTAACTATGGTAATTAACTACTAGTAAAAACATGTTGATATTAATAGAAGACAATTTGACTATATTTTGTAAATCATATTTCACATTTGTTATGATATATGCCATTTGAATGGTAGAATCGTAATGAGGGTATCAAGTGCTTTAAATCTTGATTGTAAGAACCCGATGATCATATTAGATGATCATTCTAGAAATCGTTCATAGCCCCAAATTATCCTGAAGTAAAGACACATATAATACGGTAAGACTATCATAACGTTGAACAACCCTATTGAAAGATAGTAACAGATCTTGTTTGTTAAAGTTGTTTGGTCACAACTTGGTGCAACACATGCATGGGTGCTTGTAGTTGGCAAATTCAATGGATTGACCAACCAGAGGATTCCATATAGATGATAACCCTAATATCTATGGAGTATATCCTCTAATGGATGGTGATGCATATGATCCTTAGACTTGAGATCACCAGAACGTCGTGTGTAAATATTAATGTAGCTTGACGCTGGCCTAACGTAGTCTTATTTAGGGTTATCAGTACAGGAGTGATTGACTACATTGTGTAGTACACTATGGCTATGGTGGATCAACACAAGATTCATCACTCTTAGGTACAAGAGAATTTATCTTGTTGAGTAATTCGGTAAATAACAAAACTGTGACCATAGTGAAATTGAGTTGGTGTTCAAGTTCGATTAAATCGTTAACTTAATTACTGAATACGAACATATCAAGGTAGTATATTTGAAGTTGACATTATTTTTGTACTTCAAACCTTAATGAGATAATAGTTGATGAAAGGATTCGATTGCATGGTAACCATACCGTTGACAAGTAGCTGATATGTTGAATCCGAATCTATCGGGTGGCCACGATTTCTGGCCAAAGGCCAATCTGGGTCGGTGTGTAGTGAGACAATTGATTGAGTGTCAATTGCTATATTACCCACTGCCGATATGATAAGGAGTCTG